AAGACAATTAAGTAAGAATAGTCCCAACAGCAAGAAGTTCAATCATCATTGACATACGATTGATATCAAACGTGTCATGATTTGAATTTAGTTTATCGGAATTCTCGCAATTTTCAACATATCAGATCAGGATAGTCAACTTAAAATCATGTTACTGTTGTTTCTTCAAGAAGTTAAAAAAAAACAACTCGGATCATTAGCAAACAAACACAGAATGATGGCGATACTTTATCCAAACCATTCCAAACCTAAAGTTGTTTCCAATGTATCGGCAATAGCAACCTATCATCCAAATTATCCCGATTAGTTTTTGTCCAAAAGTATTTTGTCGATAGTTCAAAAAAATTGTATCGATATGTTTTCCAAAAAATATCCGTAATTTAGCCAAAACATATCATGATAATATATCCAAAATTATCACGATAATTAAACATAGTGTCACGATAATTATCCAAAATTATCACGATAATTAAAACAATTATCATGATAATTTATCCAAAATTATCATGATAATTAAACAATATTATCACGATAATTTACCCAAAATTATCACGATAATTAAAAATATTATCTCAATAATGTATCCAAAATTATCATGATAATAAAAAGACATAGCAATTATAATCATTTCCGCGGTAACGCCCGTATGTTGACCACACACCTCCTAAAGAACACCCCTCAGAACGTGTTAGAGCAACATGCTAAACTATGACAATGACCCATGAATACCCATCCTGCCATGCCCTGCCTGCGCCAGTCTTTGCTGACTCGTTGCTGCTGAGTGGGACAGCCTGGCTGGGAAAAGGTTTGAAAGTCACCGTCCTTGGGAAGATCAAAGCCCGCCTTGGCCGGAATCTGGGTTGGTTCATCACCTGGCAGGCACACTGCTGGGAGATAGACATGCCTTGAAACATCTTTAAACGTCCGAAATGGCAACCATCACATGGCACACAGGTTACGCATGTTAAGAGCCCTTCACGCATACACGAGTCCTGGTCTGCCACAAAAACCGTGAATCAAATTGAAAGCAGCCGCGGCAAAGAATTGAGAAGCGACAGCTTGAAGAGCAGCACTAGTCGTCGTTTTGTCAGGGTGCAAACATGCTTAACATATAATTTTTCAAGGTCCTTCTGTAAGTTGATGTCAGCGGGCACACCAACTGTTCTAACTTTCAGAGGTTTAATTTATGCACCTGCCCGCTGCATTTCTACAAAAACTCTTCCAGCTTGCAACGGGGCCTGGCTCATCTGCTTCATCCCGGCGCCGTAGCTTGAAGGAATGAAGTTGATGCGAATCATACCTTAAAGGGGCAAGTCCGTGATGCGGCAAGTGCACATCTCCAGTCCCAGGTTCGGATCTCAGCCCAGATACGCGCCCGCATCACGGACCATCCTGAGACTGAGAACGACTGAGAATGCAAGTTTGTCACAAAGAACTGACTCTGTCAGATTGGAACAAATGACATTCCTACTGGGTTGTCACAGACATGAGCCGTGCAGTTCCACTTCCCTGGCTGATCAATTGGTCTGAGTCTAAGCTATATAAACAGACAAGAGACACTTCCCCAAGCACATCAGCAGGAGGCACTTGCAGAATTTGCCCCACAGCAATGGGAACGCCCAAGCGGAGCTGCTCCTCATCGTGTCCATCGCTCGCAAGCAACATGCCCTGCAAAATGATAATGCATACTACCGTGCCATGATTGCAAGGCACCCAAGATTCAAGTGACATTCCGCTTGCTACACAATGCCGCCAACCCTGCAACTGCTGAGATGCTCGACTGGTTTGCGGTGCACGCAGGCAGATGTCCACCAAAAGCAACCAAGGCTCCATGGAAGGAAGCTGCTTGAAGCTAATATTCCGCAGCTCGAGCGTGAAGGAGACATCAAAAGCTGCCTTCTATGGATTTCAGGGCTGCTCCCCAACATACTGATACTATCACTGGTATTGAACCAATCTCAATAAACCGTTCTCCCGCGACTGTGCAACTCAAAGGATCTCAAAGGCGGCCTGTTCATGACTAGGTCACAGCGGATCCTGCATACACTTCACTGATAACGATGTCAATAATAACACGAGAAAACAATGACACATCTGAACACCAGAATCATCCAGAACCAATCTAAATCATCCCGACTCCCGACTGACCCGACCACCGCTTTCGACCCAGCCGCCGTGCGGGCAATAGGCAGCATGCAGAAGCCGAGGCCTTCAGCCTGTCCAGGAAAAGAATGTCACAAAACCGACTCCTGACCCGTGGACATGTGACGACGGAGGCGCGGTGAGAGGGGAAGGCCGTGAGAGCAGGCTTACGTAGGATAATTCTTGAGCGATCGAACACGGAAGGGCTCAAGCCCAAGCTGCTTAGAAACCCCTGCTAACACATTGTGCGGGGGTGCGGTGTGGCAATCCAAGCATTCGTTCGTGGAACAGTGCTGCAAGAAGTTTGTTCCAAAACGATGCACCGCTGCAATCAGCGAAACTGGACGAGTACATGACGACACCGTAAGGCCTGAACACTCCTCTCTGCTGGCGGAACGCAACTGTCCACACAATTGGGGAGACCAATACTTCCGTTCCTGAAGGCACGACTGCACGTCTGAGCGCAACAGAAAAGGTCTTGAATCAGCCTGTGGTATGGTCTGAATGGATGGGTAGTTATGTCTGTAATATCGGTTGCCTCTCCCTCCGGAGTAAAGAAACCACAATCGGCCCAGTAGCGTGAGATCCAACAGCTTGCCAGAAGTAAAGCATCGCTGCATGCGTGCAGCTGGATGCCGCTCTGCTGACCCTGCTAAAGTAGGCTGCAACCTGGCAGGAACTTCATCTACGGGCTTGTTCGAGATGGATAGGTTTCTTTTGGGTGCTTGGAGCTTGTACATTGCAAAAGGCTCCTAAGCACCAGCCTACGCATAGCCTACGCCATGCAAAAGGTTGCCTACGCGGGCACAAAAATGACGATGAACTCGAGGTTGAACCCTGGTTCCCCCCCCCCCCCCCCACACCCAAAACCACCAAGAACAGAGCTCTTTTGCAATGGAAGGCAGCAGGCCAGGCCCCCCAGCGCAAACAGCCCACTATTCATTGCCAATCACACCACCAAGCCAACTTTGGGTTCTAGAAGCAGCTGATCAGTGGGAATTCCTTTCACGGCACTGCACTGTGCTATCCATTACACTGGGTTGTCTCAAAAAGCAGTTGTCTCAAGCGTATGTCAACTGATCCAGCAGGCTGGATTTGAGAGCAGCATGTGCAGCTTTCAATTGGCTCTCTCTGCGTGGTCCTTGGGCCTAGTGACTAGCCTAGTGGTTCATGAAATTCATGTTCTACTCTGGTTAATGTAACAGGGAGGTGGCCCACTTTCTAGCTACAGCTACCCAACATGTTTGGACTTTGGACAAGGCCTTCTCAAGAACATGCACTCCCAAAACAACCTACACACAAACCCAACGGCGGTACGCAAACGACTTATGTATGTAAGTGCCTCCGCCTACAGCCTTCACAAGCCTACGCCAACCCACCAGCATCAGAAAGCCTACGCCGTTCGCAGCACTGAAGGAGTTCCCTCTTCATCTTCTTTTCATCATCTCTACCCAAAAAAAAAAAAGAAGCTACTCAGATGGACGCAACATCTGCTAAACCGAGCTCCTTCCACGATCCTGATTCATCACCCAAGCCGCCTCCAAAGCAGGCTCCATACAAAGAGGGCACTCATACTCCAGGGCCTTCTGGCCGCAAGAGTGTCCATTGCTATCGAGGACACGGCATTGCTTCTACTATTCTGGCTGCACTTCGTGTGTTCCTGCTGCACTTAGGGTTGATGCGCACTTCAAAACGCCAAGCATGTGAAAGTGAAGCATAGACAAGCTGACTGGGTAAAAATGCGGCCTTGGTCTTTGTATGTCTTTGTGTTTTAAGCTGTGCAGCCGCACAATTTCAGCGATCAACGCGGACAAACCAATGTCCTGGCCTTTCCTGCTGCAAGACATGCTTCACCACTGTTGCTTGTTCGCCCATTCATAATTTTTGGATTATATAACATGCTTCTGAGAAGGAGGCTTGAACAAACTGGCCATGCTGCAAAATAGGAGCTTCCAAATCCCACATTGTGCCTGGTGATCTACTTAAACTGCCTAAATATTCCAAATTGTCTTGAACCACTGTTTTCGAATTAAGCCACCACCAAAAGGATTTGCTGAGCCGGTATCAGGTATCTCTCAAAATTGTATTGCTCACTGCTCTGGAGGCGCGTGCAAAGGACCCTCGCCTTTTTGGCCCTTCTGACCCTTCCAAGGACACAAAACACACTGCAACCGCCTTGCAACAGAACAAAAGATGAACGGAGCGACATGCTGCACACAGATTGAAATGCGCGTTCGGATTTCGAAACACTCGCCAAATCTTGATCCGTCCAAAATGCTGGAACGGTGTCCCCATGAAGCTGCGACCTCTTTGTGGATCGCCATCAGCAGGGCCAGCGTACATGGCAGGCATGGAACGTACGCTCTGTGAAGGTCAATTGTGGCTTGCAAATGTGTGCAGCTCTTTATTCGGCTGTCTGCGCATTGTTTCACACCTCCTACCTGGCACAAGCATGTATAAGGAGCTGTGAACTACATGCCTACCAAAGCATCTTGAATATTGAGATTCGCTGCGCTCGAAAACGCATCAGTTGCAGTGAGTCGGTTTAAGTTTCCGGACATGAAGTTGTGATGCTGCATGTTGGGCAAACTAAGAGGGAGCTGGGAGGAGCAACGATCGGTGCTCATGCGTCGGGGCTGCGGAAAGCAAAGGTGGGCAGTGCCTCTCAGCAGTTGCATTGACCTCCCGAAAAGAGAGACGGCAACAGCACCCTCTTTCTAAAATTCTAAAACCCACATTGACATAGAGTACTCTACAGGCATTTTGTGTACGTAGGCAGAAGTGGCACCTCCATATCCTCTATTCCCCTGCTGTTGGAATGCAACAATTCCAGAACCAAACCAATCTCATAATAGGCTCTTCTGGTAGCCAGCGGTTGCTTTTTGGCCGTCAGTTCAGTCTGTCAGGCCCTTTGGTTGATGACGGGAAGAGGCTTCCCTTGGCGGATCGCCTCTTGACCTGGCCGACTGGGAGCAAAATTCAAAGAACGGATGTGGACTTGCATTATCTTGCATTGTTTGATCTATGTGATGTATCATCGGTGATGTATCTGCACAAGCGCCGATCCAGAATCCAGGTATAGTTTTAAGAGAATGTCACGTAAAAGCTGGCCTTTGGGCGGCGGCCGAGTTGCTTGTTTTGGCTTCCCATGTACTTTGATTGGGTTCAACATGTGAAGGAACCAAATCCAAAGAATGCAATTCTGCCTGACAAACATGTGACAGCAGAACTGAACCCGTCCAAGCCGCAATAAACCTCAAGCTCTTCAGCTGCATGCTGAACATCCTCGGCATCGTCATCTGAAGCGTGCTCCATCATGGCTCTGATAACGCCTCCAACTGGTCCAAGGTTCCTTGCGATGCTCAAAGTCACCGGCAGTGGATGATTCGATCAAGAGTCTTGATTCTGGCGACTCAAGCTGGTCGAGTACATGTACAAATGCATTCATCAAACTGTGTTCATCTTTGTTTCTGATTTCTGACTGCCCCAAGAACAAAAACATCTCCGTGTCATCCAAAGGCCATGCAAAAAATCCTGCTGGGGCTCTCATACTGTGGATCGTCCTCCCACTTGTTCTGATGCTCATAGATCACCGCCCAAGCTAAGCACTCACCCCATGGGCCCACGATGAAGTTTCCGGAGCTGATCTCAGGTTCCCCTCCGCGGCAGTATTCCAACCAAGGCTTCCCATTTGGTGCCGCTGTCCCCATAAATCCACCAGACCCACCAATAGTGGTATGAGGTTGCGCCTGGCAGGGCAACAACTTGTTGTCCAATAACTCTAGGTGTTCGTACGCACGGCATATCATGGCATCATGATATGGTTGAGAAATGTTGAGCCGTGTTGAGGATCAAAGAACATGTCCTATGCTCTGGTCCTTCTGTGACATTCAGGTGTATATAAAATTGTGTGTTTGCGAACGTGGGTTCACAATCTCTTTTCAAATGCACACACACTCTCACACATACATACTCTCTATATATATATATGTACATATATGTCAATCTTCAACTTCAACACTTTAAACACCAGCACCAGGCCAAACTTCTCTTTGACACCAACATCTCCTGATCCCAGTACGGATTGGGCTGATGGCCATGGTGCGACAGCTCAAGGCTTTCATCGTCCTCAGTGCCGACAATGAGGCTCACTCAACAATTGTGATGTGAGAGTGTTCATGTCATGTCTTTCTTCAAATGCCGCAAGTTGAGAAGAGGATCTGATGAAGAATCCCCTCCCAGTTTGCCCTTTTTGATGCAGCAGAATGCTCCAATGCCACAACAGCAGCAGCACAGCAGCAAGGTGGATGCCAGCGATCCCTGATCACAAGCTCAGAGATGCTGGGACTCCAAAAGCTGCAGGGCCAAATCAATACTACACTATATATAATAGGATGCGCATGTAGGGGGTGTTTCATCGGTTCTCTTCTTGTGCCTGACTCCAGATTGCCTTCCCAAAGCCAACAGACTAAGGAGCAACAAAAAAACGAAAAAGAGATGAACAAAGTCCATGTTCACTTGCAAATCCAGGTCTATTGCTGCTGCTAGAGTGCGATAACGCTTCCTCTGTTGGTTTGCTGGTCATAACCAGGGCTGTACCCGCCATACTGCGAGTAATCTGCATAGGGCTGGTTGCCCTGGCTGCCCGAGTATGTCTGCAACGCAGTCAATGCGAAAAAGACTTGAGGTACGGGAGGACTTGCCTCGGCTCATGTAACAAAACTTGCAGGAACTGCCCGCGCATTGCATGTTGGTATGGCTAGCGGCTAGAATCTTGTCACATCCCGGTAAACCTCCCACCCACACCCACACACATACAACTACACAAATACGTCCAAAAGACCAACAAACAAGTCTCCTGACCCCGGCCGGCATCATATAGTTTGGGTAGCTAATTAGAATTAATTATATAGATGTAAAATAGCGTCTCCAGTAAAATTATGGGGCCTCTCTCTGAGTCTCTCTCTTCAGCCTTCTTGCTGTGAAGTGACCATTCCTGGGGCCGGCGGGTTGCAAATCAGCATCGGGTTGAACTCAGGCCCGGCCACATGAGTGACCCGCACATGCAAAGGGAACATGACTTGTGACGGAATGAAGCCGGTGTTCATGAGATCATCTCGTGCTGCGTTGAAATGGGGTTGTAGCATTGCATTGCAGCTGTTGGCTCCGTACTGCGAAACACAAGAGCTACAGGTCCCTTGCCAGTGGCCTGCCGCTAAGCAGTAGAGATCCGGCCAGCCCCAGAAAAATAGGGAAACATAAATTATACCGGCATAGACCCCCCCAGATAGCACTTCAAGAAAAGTTGGATAGCATGGCAAGAGCGGGAGACAAGCTTGGGAGACATCCCACGCAAGCCGGGAAAAGGATGGAAAAGGTAAACAAGACCTAAATCATCTTATAACAGCATCCCCGCAAAGGCAGGCAAGAAAATGACAAGGCGGCAGCGGCAGCCAAGAGCGAAGTTGTGAAGGGAGACAAGCTTGAGAAACAAGACGGCAGCGGCAGCCAAAAGCGAAGTCATGAAGGGAGACAAGCTTGAGAGACAAGGCGGCAGCGGCAGCCAA